TAGATAGACTATACCCTTTACGAGAAAGTAGTTGCCATTTCTAATTTAATTCTCTATCAATTTGCCAACATGGGAACTTTTGAAAATGCCTCAAGGACGTGAAGTGAGCCCCAACCCAACACACACACCACACGCAACCTATATGCATTTATCCAACTTCGATTCCCATCTGCATACATTCAAAAAATTTCCCCAAATTTAGAGGAAGGTAGGGTTTATTCTGTGACCTTATCTCATCTATAAGCCACCATTACCATATTAAGAACCCGTGACCAAACCATTTGGTTAACTTGTAGCATGAAACATCTCCTATGTCTCAATCCTCCAATTAATGCTGGAATCCAAATTGTTTACGGTACATAATGTAACAGTGAACGACCACAATCACTTACATTTGTGATTGCAAGTATGACATAAAATAAGTGTGTGTAGTGTGTGTATTATACGTAATATATTTGTGTACAAATATGTGTATTAGTGTGTGTATAAATATATATGAGTTTTATGTTGGCGGCTACCGTTAACTGGTGGAAGTGGAAGTGGAAGTGTAGTACCTGATTGGAGGGCAGGGCTGAAAAGCTGTGTACATCTATAGAAAAGAGACACGTGGATGGATAGAATCTGTGGTCCCGTCCATTCGTTGTTGGGGAGTTGCCGCGTGTAGAAGTAATTGGTTGCAACCCATGTGCCGTCCTTTAGCGTGGAAGCTGGTCTTCGTCACTTTCTTTTTTCTTTTTTCTTTTTATAAGCTTTTTCTTTTGCTGACTCCATCGGCTTAGTTTATTCAGCTTTGTTTTGCCTTGGGCTTCCCCCAATTCACTAGTGCCCACCACTTCTTTACCGTCTGATCCCGAGGAATCACCCGCCAATCAGAAGTGCTCTGAAGATTAACTGCCCTACCCTAGTTGATCACAACCAAGTAAAAGGGGACCAGTAATTTAGTACAAGTAATAATTAACTAAAACGTAGTTTTTTTTCAAGCTAAAACTTAGAAGAACGTATTCCAATGGAGTCCGAGTCCTGCCTCTCAATTATTATTTTCGTCTCACTTTAATTGACTTATTTTGAAATCGTGATGTGTGTCACAATTGTTAAAATAACACAATTAAAATAAAATAAAATAATTAAATAACTTACGGAGTAAGATCCTTTCACAATAATATTTTGTATTGTTTTCTTTTGTTAATTACGATAATAAAATAAAAGCACAAAACATATTTAGTAACGAATAGTATTTTATTGTTCTTAAAAAAGAGGTCAAAAAACATAAAATTAATGTTTTTAATATTTTTTTTTATCAAACACGCTTTCATAATTTTACTTCCAAAATTCTTATAACAAATTTACATTACCAAATAAGTTTCGAAAGTTGAATATATTTTAAAACAAAAAAATTGCTTAGTCAAAACAAAAGCACAAAACAAAAATAATTACCAAGCAAGTCCGGCACAAAAATGTAGAACAGTGGCATGTTAGGCGTGCTAGTTATGAGTAAGGGGTGAAAACAAAATCTGAAATATGTAAATGTTACAAGCACTAGTCAATATTGAGGATAGGTCGTTGTCATTTTTTAAATCGTTGTAACGCTAAGGACAATTGTATCGGTTTCAAATTTATTAGCATCAGTCATTTTGTTTCGACTCATAACACTCGTCGTTGTCAAACTGCAATAATTTCAAACCAAAACTCAGTAATTCCAAACAGGGATGGCCCCTTCCGGCTCATAATTTCACATAAAAATTCAAGGTCTGTGTATGCATGTACTCCCAACAATTTTTGTCTTTGCAGACCAACTGACATGCGCGCACTAAAAACCTACTGAACCATGAAGCACTCTTGTTCATGCAATGAATTCGAAAATGTCTCCACATCCATTGACTTAGTCTTCCCTTGGCGTTGGCGTTGCTGCCATCTCAATCATTCCTTGGATTATAATAACAGTCGCGAGTATGATCAAGATATAAAATTTTGTCACCGCCATGATCAAGATATAAAATGAAAATGACTTACCTGCATGGGATTGATCAAGTCCACCAATTTTGTCATCGCCATAATCAAAATTCACGTCACAATTTTGTCATCGCCGTGATCAAGATATAAAAGTTTGACTTATTGACCCACTAGCAACAAAATTTTGTTACCGCACCATTCATACCTTTTTTTTTTTTTTTTCAATCCATGATTATTTTTCTTCATATTTATGAAAATTACCGAACGCCAGAGAAAAAACATAACAATACCATCCAAGTCCCTATTCTGCAAAGCCTTTAAGGTCAAACAACTGCCCTTAATATGATTACTTTTTCCTTGTAGGGAACTCCAAACATGAAATTTCTATATAAAATCTCTTTAAAACATAAATTTAAATTTCAGTTAAAATTTTCAGCAGAATCATCTAATAACTTGAATAAAGATCCCCTCCTAAATATCGTATGGTACATTTAAATTGACAATGTAACACCCACCCAATTATATATATAAAAAAAAAAAAACAAATAACATTAAATCAACAGTGCAATAATGACATAAAAATTGTGTATTTTTTATTTAGCAGTGTTGAAATATTATAACTCGATGTAATACGTTGTATGGGTGTTGAAGACTACAAACAAAAGTGCACAAGAGAGGACACCGAGACCCTACCATGTTGGAGTCTGGAGAGAATACCGCTGAGGACTTAACCAAGTGATATTACCTCCTCGTGGTCGAAGTTTGAGATTATGTGATTTATCTAAAAATAAATAAATAAGAAGAAGAAAATATCTAGATTTAATCTTCTGTATGTAAAGAAGAAGAAACCTAGCTATTTTCTTTTGTCGGGTCCCTTGAGTTCTGGTCCTTGAATGTTTTTTTTATAGCTTTTGAGCTCTTCTAGCTTGTTACACTAGAGCAACAAAAGTTTTTCAATTAAGGACCGACAAAGTGGGCAATGCTTTCTTGTCCATAACCAAATATTCCTGAAGAAGATAACGTCGTCCAACCAAGTACTCCCACCATGGTTACATCCAAGCAGGCCACATTGTTTCATGCAATACAAAAGCAAGGAAAGAACAAAAGGCAAAAAAATGAGGACAAAGAGACTTTAAGGTGTTAAATTTTGACAAAATAAGACAAATTGATATTTCTCAAGATAAGGCATATTCCTCCAACTATCATTCACTTTCTATGCATACACATTATTCAGATTGGAAATCCAATCCACAGATAATTGTATTCTTTCATCACATATATATGTTACACAAATTGGTTTTTTTTTTTTTTTTTTATTTAGGATAGTTTTAGGAAAAACTAAAAACTAAATTTAAAATATTTTATGGTAGATAAAAATTGTATTGCATCTACCAGATCCCGATCTACACACATGTAAAACTAAAGTTAAAATATTTTATGGTACATAAATATTGTATTGCATCTACTAGATCTCAATCTACGCTAATGTAAACATGTGTGAGTCTTCAGATATGTAAAGTTAAAATTGATTGAATGCAGTACAACACTCGAGTTATATAGAAGTGAATCCCAACTCATTGCATATGACATGATGTACTGGAGCATAATCCGAAAATTGTTCTACATTAATAGGTAGGGGGGTAAAGCACTTGTCCCAAATAAGGAGTACAAGTTTTGCATCTCAGAGTGATAATCTATCTCTAATGACCTAGATTTGCTCTAAACAAATCTTGGTTTTGAGATGGGAATATCTCCTAGTGATGTAAGAGCTTAGGTCACTCCCCCAACTTCAACTGCTGTCACTTTTGTAAATTAATCAACAAAAATCTTAAAGTTGTTTAAACCCATCTCGAGCCACGCATGTGATGGTGTTGGGTTGATTTAAAAGCCAATAGTAGAGGCTAAGCTAAAGTGAGACTAGTGGCTTGGCTTGGTACTAGCCATAGAAAGAGGGAAAATACCACCAAATTGGACAACTAAAGTGACTCACTTGCCCAAATACTGAGGCCAAACGTTGTCTTTGTTTAATGACTTCGAGGTGGTCAGGTTTGGGATCCTAACCTAGCTATCTACGTTTTACTCCTACTCACTGCTACCACTCAAGTAGTAGTTGTATCCATATGTATGTGGTCACTCTTGACTAAAATGGCCCCCCTCTCTCTGTATTATTTACCCAATTAGGAAAGCCAAACCCAATCTTACTTCCCCCTGCTCTATCTCTACCACAACAAAAGTCAAAAATGGAGGAGAGAAAAAAAACACAAAAAAACCATACCAATGTGTTACATGTTATTCTTTATTTATTCATATATACATATGTGTGTGTGGAAAATGACCAAAACTTTATAATGACTATCTTAATTAATAAAACTCAACAAATTTGGCTAGATTTGAAATATTCAAAGTAACTTTTCATAACCCTAATACCCTTATGCTATACATAGAAAATTCATATTCACACTCTAAGAGAAACTTCCAACACTATCCCTCTTTGTTTATTTGCTGCATCAAAGGAGTAAAAATTTCAATGAATTAGAATATAATTATTCATAATTAAAAAATAATAATACACAAAATTTTATGGATAAATAAACACACATACACATCCATGTGTGTGCAGTTGTATGTCAAGGTCACCCAACAACCATCATGATTAATCAGATGATGATCATACTGTTCTAGATAAGTCCCAAACTCATGGAAGGCTATGATCCTTACATTGATCACATTAGTGCTTTAGATAGGGCCCACTTTTGTTAAAGAGTGGGCCTGCTATTATCTGTACGGTTCATTCCGACAAACCAGGTGCTTGAGTACTTAAGACACACAAGTAATCAATGTTGTATTGGCTCTCTCTCCCTACCATAATTACCTAGTCACGTTGCACCAAATCGGACATGTGTGTGTATACCAAGCGCTTCAATCTAACGGTTGATAATTCATAAATGGCATTCTCGGTAATTTATTAGAAAAAGTAAGGTGTATTTTGGGTGGTTAGCTTTATAAATAAAGTCTTCCATGTACACTTCAGCATTCTAAGACAACAACTCCTTAGTCTGCACTCGAACTTTATAAATAAAGTCCTTCCAGTTGCATTCTCCCAAGACAGCTACTTCTTTCCAATATCACAACAATACCAATTTAGAGAGAGAAAGGGATAGATATAGAGAGAGGAGAGGCAAAGATGACAAGCAGCATGAACGATCAAGTTGAAGATCAAATGGTACTCATCTCTCAGTACTATCCTGGGATATACACCCAACTGGTACCAGAACAAGGTTTGTACACTAAAAACATTAGATATGTCATATGTGTCATGCATGCATGCATTTGATCATGTACATAATAGTGTTTAATATGAAGTACTTGTGTGCGTATATATGTTTTTTTAGGAGAGGGGAAAAGGAAACGACGACGGAAGAAGAACAAAGGAGAGGCTAGCAGTAGTACTGGTTTGAGGAAGAGGAAGCTTTCTGCCGAACAAGTCAATCTTCTTGAGCAGAACTTTGGGAATGAACATAAACTGGAGTCTGAGAGAAAGGACCGGCTTGCTTCCGAGCTCGGCCTCGATCCGCGCCAAGTCGCCGTTTGGTTTCAGAACAGAAGGGCTCGATGGAAGAGCAAGAAGTTAGAGGAGGAGTATTCTAAATTGAAGAACCAACATGAGACCACCGTTGTTGAGAAATGCCGGCTTGAAACAGAGGTATATATCTCTCACATGTACACAAAAAGATAGTTCAATTAATATAAAGTCTATTATGTCTCTACTAAGCTTCTATAATATTATCCTCTAGTACCCCCGTTTGTATGCAGAGAAACCATGGGAAAAGAAAGCACTACTTTCCTTTTGTTGGGGATAATTTGGAAATGGGATCCAGATTGGCTGTGGTCTGGAGTACTTCTTTGTCATATTCTAAGCTTCTTTTCTTTTTATTTATATTTTTTTGAACTCACTAAAAAAAATAAAAAAAGAACAAGTTCTTTTTCACGTGAAATTTTTAAATTAAATTTCGTATTTCTTAATTTTATGGTATATACTTCATTAACTTCCCAGTTTTTCAAAAACTACAAGTTCAACTGTGAGAGATTTTTATTCACTATAAATTAACAACAATTAATTAACAATGCTATGTTTAGACATGCATGGCCTATAAGTTCAAGGAACCCTGCTATATAGTAATGTTTAATAATCTTATAAAAAATTATACTAAAAATAATTAAGTGGGTCTCCTAGTACCAAAGCAATATCATTTATTGTTAGAAAAAAATTATTTATATTTGCACATAAAAGAAACTTCCTGCACTCCACTTCTTAGACCCTACCATAATTTTTTTTTTTTTTTCAAAACAGGAATGAAATGTAGAAACTTTTTATGGAGTAATATTTGTTTAAGGTAGCTAATATTGCTATAAAAATAGACTAATCAACAAGAGAAAAGGAAAGTTGATAAGAACACAAGTGTCTCCTAAAGCACTAGAAAGCAAAACAATTCTACATGTTTCATCAATTCACAAGAGTCCGTACATAGTGGTTTAAGGTAGCTGGGTGGAGCAGCACATGGCATTTCATGGTCCCATATTATAATTCCTAGCTCCTAAGTTTTTAAACTCATTAATCTTGTAATTAATTAACACGAGACTCGATATTTAAACAGGTACTAAAGCTCAAGGAACAGCTCACTGAGGCAGAGAAGGAGATACAAAGGCTACTGGAGCGATCGGATGGGGTTTCAAGCAACAGTCCGAGTTCATCATTCTCAATGGATGCATTGGAGCCCCCTTTTCTTGGAGAATTCGGGATGGAAGGATTGGAAAATGTCTTGTATTTGCCACAGAACAATTACATTCATGGCATGGAATGGGTTAATCTGTATATGTAATGTATGTAATTAAGGGCATTCTAGCTAGTGTGTAGATAGTGACCACCTAATTATGTACATCTCTTTCCTTAGCTTTCTGTTCAATGTTGCAGTGGTACTGACTAGAAGATGGATTTTCATTCACATAATTTCGCCTTTTTAACTAAATACCTGGTTCTTTTCATGTATCACTATCAAATACGTGTGCATCTATTTACATATACATATACACACACACACATACAGTGTGACAATTTGACAAATACCTGGTTCTTTTCATGTATCACTATCAAATACTTGTGCATCTATCTACATATACATATATACACACATACTGTGTGACAAATACGTGTGTGCTTTGTCAAACTAGCTATTCTTTTACCATGTTCTCATGCTTTGGTTGAACATTAGTTCCATTTAGAGACCTTAAGGTTTATCCCATATACCTGTTAATAAATTTGTGAATTTGTGAATAGGATGACGCAAGGGTGAATTGGACAGTTCCACAGGATGATCAGTGTAGGAAAGATTCAATGTACCAAGGACATGAAATTCCATGCATATTGATGGCATCACGTGAATAACTAAAGATAGTGAGAAGAAAATACTATCCAACAAAACCTAACTCTATGACTATAGAAAATCATTGTTAAATGCAATGGTAGACGATAAGCATGAACTCATCGGAAAAATAACAAAGATCTATATATATTTTTTACACTAACCAACTTTTTTATAGGTCCATCAAATGAATCATATTCTATAGGCAATAAATTGCTCAGTCAAAAGATGAGATGTCAAATTTCAACTTCAATAGCTTGTACCACAATATTTATATACACATTTTTTTTTTTTTTTTTTTTCTAGTTGATACTCACCCACACTACCTCCACTGAGGTTCGAATCCCTAACATTCTTTTGGAAAGTAGGAGCCTTGTACCGCTAGGTCACAGACCTGTTAGTATTTATATACACATTGTCCAAACATTTATAAACACTAAAATATCCTAAGATTTATATACACATTATCCATACAAAGGTTTGGCACAAATTGACTTGAGAAGGATTGGGCTGCAGCCTCTCAGGGACACAACTGAAGGGAAGAGGCAGAACTCTCTAAATGGAATATTCAAATATCTTGCTTTATTAAATAATTTGTTTAGGAAAACAAAAATATAATACATGTTTTTACTTCCATGGACAAATTTTCATAGCAAGGGCTTAGACCAAGTGATATCACCTCTTCCTGTTCAGGATTCCATATATTATGCTATATAGATACAGAAGAGTGCGTAAATATATCATTATACATAACCAAGAGGAAAAAAAATAAAAAACTGGAATCTCATAAACATATAAAGCAGGAACACAATGACATATAGATAAGGTACTTGGTACAGCAAAAGACGACAACTTTACCCAAGGAAAGAGGAAAAAGAAGAACTTACTAACCTTTCCTCAGTTGGTAATAACCGTTCAAGAAAGTGAAAGCAACGAAAGCGGACTTCATCTGCCACACTGACACCAAAAATGAGCAAATGAAAGAACAACAAACAAGCAGAACTTTTCATTAGCTTGGATTTATACAGGGGTACGTGGCAAGCAGAGGCCTTAAGAGTTATTGAAGAACACTGAAAAACATGCCACAATAGTGTATGAACAAAGAAGAAATTAACAATACATACAGCTAACGACAGAACGATAACAGAGTATAGAAAGGAATTTTATTAAGTGGTTTCTCTAAAATGCTGCGCTTGCCATCCTTAGATGTATACTTCACACATCAAAAAAAGAAAATGAGCTTAGTAACTAGAATGTATCTTATAGGCAATTACCAGGCAACACCACCTTGGTGCCATTGTGTATTTGTGTGGCTCTTTGTACGACACAGCTACAATTGAATGATATGTGTGGTTTGCAATTGGTTGCACATATCCAGGGTTTGGCTTGTAGCCTCACCAACCAAAAGTCAATCCACATTAACCCCCTCATCCCAAAAATAATAATAATAAAAAACTAGAAAAGTTAAAAATTCTAAACTAAACTGCCTACAAAAGTTCCTGACTTTAAGCAATACATTATTGTACACACACTACTATTACCTTGAATCAAATGGAAATCATTTCAGACCACGAGACAGTCACAGAAATACAGAGGCCATCAAACATCCCAGGTTTGTAAAAAAAAAAACTTTTCGAGATTCCTTTGTTAAGAGTATCAAACGCGCTATCACACAGCTTTCACAAGATGAATTACACATTAGGAATATAAGAACTTTGTAGGCTTGTAGCATGAGTAGGAGGAACCCAAGAAGTAAAGTCCCAAGTGAAGAAGCGCAATATAGACCAATAGTATTCGAGGTTTATCTTCCATCAAATCAAATGAGGGAAATAAAGAAAATTGAAAAATTATAATTTTTCAAAAAGCCTCACAAAAAATGTTTTCACCAAGTTCTCCATCTTTTCAAAAAGGATCCTTGAACAATTCAGAGAGAAGTACTTCACCGGTATGGCCGACTAGTTCAAAAAAGTATGTTAAACCAACATCTTCCACCAATCAGCACTCCTCCACTTGATGAAATGGATTTTGATTCTCCAAGTCTAGGGATACAGTGGAAAGTGCAAGCCAGAGAAAACGTAAAAACTTCAATGTTTGGATCTGAAAGAGAAACAAAATAATTCGGTTTGATTTTAAAAGTGACTAGTTTTGAGTCAATTGTAGGAATGGTGGCAACCGTCTTTATCGGGAAGAGGCTTTTTTGGGGGAGAAAATTATAACAAATGTAACCCATATTTTGACTAAGAACATCATGAATGTACAACGGAACCGCACTAAAATTTTCTCTTTTTAATGGGTAAACACGCACACGGAGGTTGAGATACTACTCAAGCTAATGCTTAGTGGTAGCTTATGCTGCATTAACTATTCTACATGTGTGTGAATTATACCCATACTGACAGAAGACTCATGGGACTATACGATATGTGTTTGATTATCTAGTTGAACATACACCTAGCAAGCATGCCCAGTGTTCAAGTTTACTATGCAATTAAAAATAAAACTCTTATATATATATATGCTTGTTATATGATTGCTTAAAAAACTGAGTGGGTTGCGTATATTGAAAACACCATTTTACACCAAATCACTTTAAACTAAGATATGAAAGAAGATGATTAAAAAATGAAGATTTAGTCATATCCCGTCCTTATCTTTGTCATCTAAAAAAATCTGATGCTTACATACTTCCACAAACAAACGTATCTGAATCCATGTACATACCTCTTGATTTTGTTCAAATACATCAGTTGCATGCAAAAATGCACCTTGTAACAGACCCCTTTTATGCGTTTATACATTCCAGGTATAGGTCTTCATCGATTCATGTGGATCACAACCTGACCAAAGCTTGAGATCTTTATTGATTAAATTGTCAACTTCACAAAATACTTTTGCACCAATCAGAACAATCTAGAAAAATATTCCATGTTGAATCAGCAGTGTCCCCTTGTTTTTTTTTTTTTTAGGAGGGATCACAACACCACAGCTTATTATTTATCAATCAATCAGGGTACACCATAATAAACTCGTATTGAACCACCTAAAGAATGTTTTCTTTCACATTGTGACCAAATATAATAGTAGTAGATTTTATATCACAAATCATCCTCTGATGCTTATTTCATATTGTCGGGCTAACCTTGCTAGAATTTATAAACATACTCTTTTTGGCTAATTCAGAAATACAGACCAAATCTTAATTCCGCGAGATTGACCGAATTTATATATACATACATATATATATAACTTTTAATTATGTTCTATTTTTTTGCTCAATTTCACTGAGATTATGGTAAAATCAGCCCAGCCTTTCATGAATTAATCAAAATATTAGAAATTCCGTTTTCCCTTAACTTTGAATTCTTTCAAAAATTAGCCAAATAGTCTTGACACTAAAATAAAACTTACTATTGAATCCAAGGTTTTTGCAACTTCGAATTTGACGGGTTTGAATCCATTGGCATTATGTAATTTTATAAACATCTGGAAGAAAAAAAAAATTCCACACACTGAATATTCATCAAACAAGTGCAGTGCCATCAATATGGTTGAAATCTATACTGTATGACAGATTAAAACAAAAAGAATGAACCGGCAAAAAAAATGCCAAAAACATATATGGATGGTAAAGAGTCAAAGTGGCAACGTTATTCAATGAATCAATAAGAGAAACGAACCGATTTATAGTTGGTTCACATGTAATCTACATCGAATCAACAAAATGCTGAGAAAACCACAGTGACTGAATCCGCTTCGGCTCTGATACTCAACGATTCGCCACTGTAACATTGCGATTCGCTCCTCGTTTGAGCCATTTCTCTGTTTTAGTTCGGAGTTCATTTTCTTTCTACGAGCCCAAACCCCAATAACTTGCACAGAAGAAAGAAGGTGACTTCATCGCCGAACTAACTCGGACCAAATTGTTACATTTTCTTGGAGTTGAAATAAATGGAGGGAAAGTAACTGATTGGAAAGAGCGGTCCAGCAGGAAAATAATGAAATTTGAAAAGAAAGAAAATGGAACTTGTTTGGTGCGGTGGAAAATAAATGAAAAATATTTGCCTCCGTATCTTTTGACTCACTATATCCATGGGTTAAGTACACTGACTCTGGAGTTTGTTCTAATTATATGCACAAGGGAAACTTTTCAAAAAATTTGCATTACCCTCCCCTCATAAGTTATTTTTACTTTTACACCCCCAAATATTTCGAACGTTAAAAATGCTCAAATATCTGTATTGTGAAATGACCATTTTGCCTACATGTATAATAAATCAACTCTCTCTTCCCTCTTATCTTTTTATCTCTATCCCGTCGCTCTCTTCAATCGCAGAGCACCACAACCATCTCTCCCCCCCTTTTTCTTCCCTAAATCCAATCTTCCTTGTTTCCAAAAGTGGGAGTGAAGAACATGGATTATTTTTATAGACAAAAATACCTCTCTCTCCCACCATTTTTCTCTCTCCACCTACCGTATTGGCCACCCCCTTCTCTCTCCCCCTTTTTTCTCCAACCACAACCCACATTTTGAAGAAATTTAAAATAACTTTCGGCTACATGCTCTTCCCTAAATCCAATCTTCCTTGTT